TACAACAAATATTACCACTCCAACTGAAGATCAGAAATTTGCCTTTTGTGGTCTTTGACCACAAAATTGCCTTACAGATCAGCTCTGCACCCATCTTTAAAAATGTCCCTCACTGGGGCAACTGGGTGGCTCAGTCGGTTAAGTGTCTCCCCTCGGCTCAGGTCATGATCTCAGGGTCCTGGGATCGAGCCCCACATCGGGCTCCCTGCTCGGCGGGGAGTCTGCTTCTCTCTCTCCCTCTGCCCCTTCCCCTGTTCATGCTCTCTCTCTCTCAAATAAATAAAATCTTAAAAAAAATAAAAACAACAAAAATATCCCTCACTAGTAGCTGGAAGGGAGGTGGGTGGGGGAAAGGGATAATTGGGTGATGGGTACTAAGGAGGGCACCTGATGTCAGGAGCCCTGGGTGTTATATGCAACTGATGAATCACTAAATTCTACCTCTGAAACTAATTTAAAAAAATGTCCCTCACTATCATCGAGAGTTCCCCTTTAACAATGTCCCTTACTGTCATCGAGAGCTCCCCAAATCAGGTATTCCCCATTACCTCAGAACACCACTCATTTCTTGCTACTATGATTCTTAATCCATCATAAAGTCCATGCAGACAATTGTTGAATTATTCTTCATAAATCATCATTTTAATATAGAAACACATCTCTGTTTTCCCTTACAGTTCAAATCCCTTAATAAAGTTTAAATCCCTGAATCTGTCCCTCTCATTCTGCTGCATATTCATTTTAGATGCTTTGGGGACCAGTCCATTCAGACACAGACTCTACACCAGCCATCTGGTTGGCTTTCTATGCCGTACACAGCCCCATAGCCTGCCCTGACCATCTCACTAACCTGTGCCTTCTGAATTGGGGATTAGCTGGTCAAGGAGTGAGGACAGACCAGCTCCGGTTGGAAGTGATCTTTCTCTCCTCTCCCTCATAGAGCCATCACTATAGGACTCTCATGATGTCTCTCATCTAATCCCATGCCAACATCTGGCTCCTTCAATTATTTCCAAAAAGTACTCCCTGACCAATGTGGCATCATCATATACTTCCTAGTTACTTCTGTGTGATGTTTTTCCTCCCAAATCACATATCCCTGGAGAGAAGGTACCATGTTTCACAATTCCTTGTCCTCTCAGACCTACCAGTGACTTGGGCATGAGAAATACTCATTGAACAGTTGAGAAATGGACATAAAGAATAAGCTTTCCTCTAAGGAAGCTTCTGTCACAGGAGCTAACCTTTTAAATTTGTTAATTGACCTTAGTCGCTGGGGTCCAGAGAGGTTATCCGGGGAAATCACAAAACTCAGTGTGAAACCTGCTTTCTCTCTTACCTTTGCTTTCCTGTGTGGAGCTGTGAGGACAGGACATGGTGCCATAGGGCACCTTCCGACTCTCTTATGGGGAATTTCTTCCCTGATCTCTGAAGGTGGAAGAACATATTATCTACCAACCACTGTGGCATGTTTCATTTAATCTGCTCTCCCTCTTGAACCTCTGATAACCAAGAACCCACTTAATTTAATCCTCAGTAAGATATATATTCTTCTATTTTATGTTGCTTTTATAACACTGATCACAATTTGGCTTTTGAAATAGTCCTGTTCTCAAATTTTCATATGGACTGATATGTTGTTCTTTTTTGAGAAGTCTATAAAATATTTAGATGTGCGTTTCAGTCAGTAAGGTTAGATTATTGAGCATTATGAAATACATTTCATTCTCTTCTGGAAAGAGGGTTAATGATATTTCATCATCATTAAGAATCTAGAAGGTTGCATAATTCTTGTTAGTTTAACAGATTATCTATTTGTTTGAGCTTGGTTTGAATGTGCTATTGGAACTGAAACAAAATTTTGTTTATTATAAACACCAAATTGTGTCTCTATCTCAAACTGCCCATTAAAGTTCCAAATAATTTGGTGTTTAAAAGTATAAGCTTTAACACTTCTAATAACTACTAATACTTAAAAGGCATACTTTCTTTTCTTTCTTTTAAGTTAGCCATGATCTACACAAAGGCTTATATTTAGTACTTCCAAGAAAATCAAAGTTTTGACTTAGTGTCACTATAAATCCTTCTAATAGCATCTAACTAATGAAAGTATCTTTGACTCGCCTATTAGTTTTCAAATTGATTAAGTTAGACTGGTTTATAATTTCTAATTATCACTAGATATTTGATAATGAAAGTTAAAATTTGTGACAGTTGTTATGACAATTATTGTTCCTGAAAACAGAATTTTAAAAAGATAACTTCTACTGGAAAAATGATTTAAATTGAAGTGTTAAATACTTAACTGTAACAAAATTCCCTCACCCACTGTGGACATAGTGAAGTTCTTTTAAAAATCTGATGAAGTCATGCAAGTTTAGAGCTGGAGGGAAAAATAAAGCAGAAAAGGGAGGACAGAGGGTGTTGGGTCTTTAATTAGGTGGTTCTTCATTTAAAGAAGAAAAACACTGAAAGTCAGAATAGAAAAATGACATGTCCAATATCACAAAAAATAAGTGCCAGAATGAACCCTATAAAAGAGATTCCATCCTTCCTGAGACAGGAAAATAGACAAATGATAACAGGTGAATCTAAAGACTGACAACTCAGTTACCTGGCATAACTTTTCTTGGTGATTCAAAGTCATATTGATGTGTGAATTTGGTCAGAGCTGGACATAGATGACTCTGCTTTCTCAGTTGTAACATCTCAGTTTTTGTACTTTGCCATCAGCAGATCAGATTAGAAAGGGAAGGAGAACCACCAGGCTTTAATCCAATTCAGAAGAAATGGAAACCAAGCTAGGTCACTAAACTATGAGCTCACTTAATCAACAAGTGGAAATGCTCAGTAATGGCCACCACTCTAGGCAAGAGCCAGACATGGTATTTGTCCCCATTAGGACACATAATTTGAGGGAATAAAAGAGATATGCTGGAGATTGCTATTTTCAAGGCTCTGAAGACCCTTTCTCTCATTTCCATATCTAGGAACATGTTAGAGTTGGTTGCATTTATTGGATGTGTAACCATAAGTTACAGTAAAATGATATAGAAAAGCTTACTGTAAATGTCCCCAGCCTATTTCAAGTGACAATTACACTGAAGGCTTGATAGACTTTGATCCCTAGGCCCCATGCTGGGTGACAGCTTATCTTTTGATGATGACTTAGCCTGGTACCTATGATTAAATTTTCAGTAAAAATTTTGGAGGGAGACTTGATTTATAATAAACTTCACATTTTATCATATAATGCTAAAGCAAAATCTAATGGTTTGATGTTTAATGCTCAATAGTTTCTAGCAAAGCCTAGATATTGTATAACTATTTGCTTTTACTCTTCTATTTTCATAAATAGACACATACAGTTTTATTGATATAATTTCAACTCAAATATTTTCTGGAAGAAATGAACATGTTGGAAATAACATTATCATCTCAAAAAGAAATGGGAAGTACTCATGAGGAAAGAGTTACAATCTTACCAGCAAGCACCTTGTCTCTCATGTCTTTCCCATGGGAGTTAACAATCTCATCTCTTTCAGGATATAAACTCTCTAAAGTCAAAGATTTTCCCCAAAGCTCCTTAAGAGTTGTGAGTCTTCAACGTGCATTAATTATAACCATCATTGACTAAGGTTTTTTTTTTTTTAAATATTCAAAAATTCTGTTGCAACCCTGTTTATAAACTCTTATTTAATTACTGTCATTCACTCATTAAATAAGCATTTTTGAGTGTCTGCTATGTACAATCCAAGAATCACTTGATTCAATAGTGTATAAAATAAAAAAGAAGAAGTTCTGTCCTTATGGAACTTACATTCTATCAGGAAGATATATAAATAAATATAATTTTTAAAAAGTAAAATATATAGTATGTTAAATGAATAAAAATTTCAAGAAAAATAAAGCAGCAAAAGAAAATAGGGAGGGATTTTTTTGGCTTTCCCAAGAAAATAGGGGTTGTGATTTTAAACCAGTTGGCCAAAGAAGCTGACACAAGAAAATGACATTTAGGTACACACCTAAAGGAGGTGAGGGAGAAAACCATATAAAAATCTGGGGGGAAGAACTTTCCAGCAGTGGAAATAGCCAAGTGCAAAGGCTCTGAGGTAGGAACAACACAGGGGTGTTCCAGGGAGTGGAGAGACTACTATGTGAACAAGGGAGTGGTAAAGTTAGAAGAGTAATAGGGGTCTGATCCTATAGGGCCTTGTAAGACTTGGACCTAGAAGAATGGAAATCATTAGTAAATGCTGAAATGACCAGACTTACAAGATCTTGTTAAAATCACTTATGTATGTAATACAGTGCCTGGAATTTAAGTTAATAAAATGAATGGATTATCTGCTAGGTAGCTGGAAGCCTGCTTATGAACAAAAGCAGAACTGGAAACTAGAGAATCAGGAACATGGGGGTGCGTGTAGGAAAGGAGTTACATCAGTAACATGAACTATATATTTATATAGTTTTAACTTTTTAAAATTATTTTACTTCGGATGTCATCTGATAAAAGTTCTTTAGTTGTTGGACGAGGCCGATAGAAACTAGGGACTCGCCATTAAGCATTGAGGACAAAGTTCTTTCTGTCTCTCTAGTCTGTGTCTGTCTCTCTCTGTCATTATTGGGGCCAGGAAGATGTGACCCTAACTGGACATCCTTTGAGCTATGCCTCTTTCGTCAGGCAGCTGCACCCCAGGACGTGCCTGGATGGGCTAAGAAGGAGGGGAGGGGCGGGAAGAGTGGGAGTTTCACCGAGGGAAACCGGAAGAAGTGCAGCTGGGCACCTGAGGCAGGGAAACCAGGGGCTCTGGGAAGGGGGCGGATGGAGGCAGGCATGGGGAAGGAACGGGAACAAGAATCTCCCAAAAAAGAGAAGCTGCGAGGAGGCCAGTCCCACTCCCGCCCTGGCAGAGCTCGCTGCCGGGAAGAAGCCCCATTTCCAGTGGTAAGGCCAAGGGTTAGGCCAGGGGTGGGACAGGCAGGCAGAGGTCCCTTACTCTTTAGATTTATCCGATCCGTGCGCCGAGTTGATACGATGCACCTCTTTCTTTTTGGTTTGTTTGGAGGCCATGGTAGAGGCGGCCCCGGGCCCCGGGCCCCGGGCCCCAGGCCCCAAGTGTGGACAGAGCTGTGAGCGAGGAGCTGGCTGCGGGACGCGCTCCGCGACGCTGTTGTCAAGGAGACGGCGGCCGAAGGGCCGCACCCGAGGGGCGGGTCCCCCGCGGCTCTAACGCCGCGGCTCTGGGGGCGACGACTGGGGACGCCCGAGCGGCGAGCTCGGGTCTCCACATCCGGGTGGTCTAGGGGTTGGGTGTCGGGAGGAATCCCGGGGGCCCGGCAGCTCTGATAAACTGCAGCTCTATCAGGTCCACTCTACCTGGCTTTGCTCTTCAGTTATTTGAAGACGGCTTATGATGCGATGTCGCCTCTCCCCAGGTCTTCTCTCTGCTGAACCAGTTCTTTCAGTTGTAACTAAGGAGGCAATATGGACGCTCTGAATTTGCTAATGGCTTGAAAAGGGCGGGTCCTGAAGAATAGAGTGGGTGCGGGGGGGATCCCTGCACGGAAGGCAAGATCCATGACACCCTTAGTTGCTCAGGTTTAGCTAAAAATGAATGAAGTCTGTGATGAAAAAGTCCAATGTCTCCGTTGTTCATGTAAAAGAATAAATCCGAGTCATAGAGTCGAGAGGCCCTTGATACACTCACTTGGAAAGGCACTGGAGCCAGAAGAAACAAACCAAGACCTATTAAGGTTCAAGCCTAATGCTCAGCCAGCCCATAGCGGTATTTATTAGTTGCCTTGGGCAAGTTTTTCCTTTTGAGCTTCATTTACTCATTTGTAAACAGGAGGTGCTAATATCTAACTCACGGTTCTCTCCTGAAAATAAATATGTATGTAAAATGCACACAATGAAAGCATGGCAAATAGGGGGCCCCTGTTTCTGAGATGAAGCTTAAATGCCAGCAAGGAGCAGGCAGATGCCCTGAATCAATGAAGCCCGGCGATGCTTAGACTGGAAACACTTTAAAACTTATTATAACAAAGCAAAATATTGTGTGGGCCCAAAACAACCTCCCTATAGTGAGATCTGACCATGCACAGACCTGAGGTTTAGAACCCCTATAAACATCTCCTATATACGTGAAGAAAATAAAGACATCTTGAGGGCTCTGCCTCATTTATCTCAGGATTGAAATTTCCAGAAAACTCTCCTGAATGAAAATACAGGACCAAACTTTGAGAAAATATTATTTAATACCAAATCTTATCAAAGTAATCAAATGCATAGCCAGAAGCATATACAAATACTATTGGGTAAAAACAGCACAATTTTAAGCAACCAACCCACAAATGAGTGAGTTTCACCTTTAGCCTAGGTCATCCCCAAAGTCATTGTTAATGGTTCCAAGATGCCAAGAACCTTAGAAAAGAAAAGTCTTAGAAATCAAGTCATCTCCAGCTCACCCATATTTTATAGATGAAACCCCTGGACCAAGAGAAGTGTCTTGCCAAAGTTTCACAGCTACTGGTGTAGTCTGGATCAGAGGCATTAAAGGGAGGAGCACTGGTTTAAACCAAACATATCACTACTCCCACTCAGAGACTGCTTTCTCATCTATTAAATTAGGACAAAAATAAGGGAGTTGACATAAGGCTGAAATGATATAATAAAAAAAATTGGGGGGGGAATATAAAGTGCTTATTGATTCTTAGTCCAGTGTTCTTTCTCCTTTATCATGCTATGTGCGCAGCATGCATAAACAGAATTTCTCTTCTTTCTGGAACTAAACTCAGGTCAGGCCATGATTCTAAGAGGCAAATATGCTCCATAAACCATAAGATGGTATTCGTATGGGCCAGTGCAAAAAAAAAAGGAAAATTGGCCTTACATCCATCTTTAAAAAAAAAAAAATCCATATTATGTACAGATGATAATCATAGTCAATGCCATTTTGAAATATCATAATAACTGTGATTTATTGCATTCCTGCTACATGCCTGGCTTAGGGAGGGGTGCGAGCTCCTTAGGACATGTATAGGCTTTAGAGGGAAAAATGAATTTTAATGCTGACTCTTATTAGTTGAGTTACCCTGGGTAAGTTATTTATACCCTCTGGATTCCATTTTCTTCATTTGTGAAAAGGGAAAGATAATACTTAGCTCAAATGTTGTATTTGGAGAAATCATAAGCACTCATATGATGATAGCTAATATCATATTTCACAGGTAAAGGAAGTGAAGTGCAGAGAGGTAAAGAGATTTGCCTGACATGGGGTAGGTAGCCTTTGCTCTCTGCAATGCTCCGGGCTAACTAACCTTGTTAAAATCTTTCAGAGTCACAAATCCAGATGATTGCCCTGCAACTCAGCTTACGGATTTCCAAGTTCTCTGTTGAATAACATTCAAAGGCTGAGAAACAGCGCTTATATGTTATTAGAGTGACCCACAGCGCAGCCTCTCTCCAATCTATACTTACCTTTTTGAGGAAGAGTTATTTGGCTTCAGGCAGCAGTAACGTTACCCAGCTCCACAGGGAAGTCGTTAGAAATACTCACTTCCCCATGCCCGCAGAAACAGAACAGGCAGGGCTCTCTCTTTGGACTAGTTGGGGATCTGCTGAAATGGGGAAGTGAACTTTGGTAACCACTTCACCCACCGTGGGGAGTCGCAGATGACTGGAACTGGGCGGGGTCGGGCAAAGAGAGGGGCAGCATTCCTGTTTCTCAAAGCCTTAGCTCTGGGCGGCTTCAGACACTTGGTCCCACAGCCAGAGGCCGTTACATCCATGGTGCTGCTCAGCCATCTCTGCAGTTAGGTCAGATGTAAGTCGCCTAGAATTTAAGCAATCAGATGAGAAGGTGTAAATTCTTCTACATGTTCTGCTTCTGGTTCAGGTGAATTGGCCTTTCAAATTCTGTCTTTCGATTGTCATTCTTCTGTCCCATTGACCTCATTTTCCTTTGTTTGCCACAGAGCTTTGTGTGTCTTAAAATTCTTATAACACTCTGCCTTCTTTTTATCCTTCCTTATGCCCTGGCCCTTCTCATGTGCTGGCCTCCAAGGGCACGAGAGCAGGACCTGTTCGAGTTCTACTCTTCCTCACCAAATTCAGTTCAAAGTTGTAAGCCCCCTCAACATCTCATAATCCGAGCTCATACCTATTGAGAACTTGCTGTATGCTTGGCACTCTAAGAAGCTCTTTTTCCTGCATTAGCTCACATAATTCATAGAGACACCCTAGGAATTTGTTAATATTACAATCTCTTTTTTGTGTAAACAAGGAAACAGGAGGAAAGGTTAAATTAAATTACTAAGTGTCAGGCAGGATTCTTGCCCATGCAGTCTGGCACCAGACCGATGCTGTTTACAATCACATTATTCTGCCTCGGGCTCAGTGATCACAGCCCTATGAGGTATACAATCAGCCCATTTTATAGAGAAGAAAAGTGAGCTTTTGGCCAAAGTCCAAAGCACAGAAGGAGTGGATCCGTAACTTAAATGTGAGCAGTCTGGCTTCAGAGTGCACACACTATTATATCATGTTGTATTGTATTGTATCATATTGTATTTCTTTATTGTGGTAAGAATGCTTAATACAAGATATTAACATATTTGTGAATGTACAATACAGTATTGTTAATTCTAGACACAATGTTGTACAGCAGATCTCTAGAACTTACTCATTTTGCAAAACTAAAACTTTATACCTGTGGTCACTCTTCAGCCTTCTGCTACACTGCCCGCTTGGAATGGTTACTCTATGTCATGGAAAATATTATTAAAAATTGCAACTTAGATTCAGTTTTGTCCCCTACTGTTCTGTCTCTCCAGATCCCACTAGTTATGGAGGATTTGAATCTTGAAGATATGAAGCCAAATGTCCCTGCCCGAGATAGTCTCATTAGTCTGGGTAGACATTAACTTATAGTTTTAATTATCTTTGAGAGGAAACTCTGAGTAGGGATTCTTAAAAAAAATGGGAGAATAGGGAAAGAAGATATTTTCATGATAGTGGTTGAAAAATAATTTCCATTTTGATTAGTTGTTGAAATACGAAGCAATAGTTTTCCTGAGTGTAATAAAACACTTCATGGGGTTGCATACGAACCTGAAGGTGTATAATGTTGCAGTCGCCTCTGCCGTGGGCGCACTGGTACTAATCCAGATCCCCCTTTTGGACAGAGGCATTCACGCCCCCATAAGAGGAAGCTGTCACTCAGCCCAAGGCCATGCCTTCTCCCGGACAGTGGCCTGCATCTTATTAGTGTGTGTAAGGGAGGGCATATAACCGTGACACCTCTGAAAGGTTCTTCTCTCCAGAGCTCCGTCTTTATTGGTGGAGATCTCGGTCACAACAGCATTGCACTTTATCTTCTTCTGCCTGATCCTGCTGGCCTTCCATTCAGAGATGTTACCCAAAACACTCACTAATAAACATCATGCATGCAAATCTCTGAGTGCTAGAGTTCGTTTCCTGAAAACTGGCCCAGAGCGGTCAATCTCAGGCATGATTCTAGGAAGCAGACTCTCAAAGGAGAGTTAGAAAGGTTTCTGCTCCCAAACAAAAGGCAGTAACAGGCAGTGCATTTACCTTCTCGTGTGCAATAACTAATACACTGAATGAGATAGATGAAGACATTGGCAATGAAAGGCAGAGTTCCCCCAAGAGGTAGAAAACAAAAAAGACAGGCTCTATAATGGTCCTAGCTTACTGTGAGGCTCTGACACAGGGTGGGGAACCCTGGCAGAGCCCAATCGATGGTGCCCCTGATTTGGGAAGACAGAGCTGAATCCAGGGAGGATTTGTGGCTGAAGTTCCCAGCACAGAGTATGTGGAGGAGTGAGCCATACAGAGAGGAGAACCTTGAGGGCAGGCCCTCAGTGTTCTGTCTGAGTGCCAATCTGCACAAGCACATGAAGAAATGTTCTGAGGCCACAGAAAAACCATGGGAGACAATTACAAGGAGCAACCTCCTCTGAGTTCACATGGGGCCTGTTCCCACCAGCATGACTGGAGACACCTCATAATTCACAGGGAATGGGTCATAGCATTTTGCCTCAGTAGGG